AATCAGTCGGAGAACAGACTACACCTGGAGAACAAGAGGAAGTGGAGGCATTAGCTAGACACTGGGAGAACAACAGAGAACGACAGACACTTACAGGCTGGAATTGTGGAACCGTGGGACACCCATTCAAAGCGTGTGAATCGGAGGTGTTAAAGGTATTCTGTTTCAAGTGTGGAATACCGGGGCATCAGTCAGCTTGCTTGGGGAAAGTTGCCTTGAAACAGTGGAAAGGTTAGGACTGAGATTAGAGAGGTCACAATCGATAATGAAATCAGCATTAGGTACGCAGCATGGAGTAGTGGGGAAGATTCAACACAGCATCTCGTACAATGGGTTAAAAAAACGATTGCCGATACTCCTTTGTCCTTCCTTAAAGCAAAAATTATACCTTTGTATAGATTTCTGGAGGAAATTCGAATTGGCGCCAGAGGTAGTGGGTGTAGAATCCGTACACCAGGTGGAATCCGAATTTATGGCCAAAGAGAACAGATAGAGGCACATATTTGATCCCCTTAACAGGCTGAGCAGCTGGAAGAAGCAAAAGGAGGTTTTCTGACATACGAAAGTCAAGGATTAGGACTTACCAAGGTGGAAGAACACTCGATCCAGTTAGTTGAAGGAGCCGTACCCGTGAAGGAGAAATTTTTTCCAGTTTCTCCGGCGAAACAACAACTGCTGTTCGCAAAAATCGATGAAATGCTTCGGTTAGGAGTCATCGAGATAAGTGAAAGTCCCTGGAACAACCGAACGACGCTGGCGCAGAAACCTGGAAAGAATAGGCTGTGCTTAGACGCAAGAAAACTGAACACACTTACAGTGAATGATGCTTACCCATTACAAAGCATTGAGTCGATTTTAAACCGGGTAGATGACACGATTTTCATCAGCAGTATCGATTTAAAACATGCGTTCTGGCAAGTGGAACTCGATGAAAATTGTCGTCCCTTGACCGCTTTCACAATACCTAGAAGGCCACTTTATCAGTTTCGACGGATGCCATTCGGCTTGTGTAATTCGGCTCAAAGGTTGTGTAGGGTAATGGATAAGGTAATCCCACAGCGTCTTCGAAGCCGCGTCTTTGTTTACTTGGATGACTTGCTGATGAAATCCAAGACTTTCGAAGAACACTGCATGTTGCTGAAAGAAGTAGCAGAGTGTTTAAATAAAGCAAATTTGACGATCGGCCTACACAAGTCAAAATTTTGTTTTAAATACTTGCGGTATTTGGGATTTATCATCGGTGATGGGGCCTTGCGGACAGATCCGAAGAAAGTTGAGGCGATTATGAAGATAGAAGTGCCCAAAAATACGCGACAACTACGCAGCTTCTTAGGAACCGCAAGATGGTACCTCAGGTTAATCCAAAATTTCTCCGGTGTAAGTGCGCCGCTCACAAACTGCCTTAAAAATAAAGGGAAATTTACGTGGACGGAGGAAGCAACTGCGGCATTTGAAACACTGAAGAAAGGACTTACCTGCGGGCCGGTATTAGCTCATCCAGATTTCGGGAAACTTTTGGATACAGTGTGACGCCAGCCATGTTGGAATTGGGGGCAGTGTTATACCAGCAAGACGTAGAAGGATCGGACCGGCCAATAGCATTCTTTTCGGCGAAGCTGAGAGGAGCACAACTCAATTACAGCATAACGGAAAAAGAGTGCCTCGCAGCTAAAAAAGCCGTGGAAAGATTCCGTCTCTTCGATTTTGAGACAACGGAGTTTGAGAGTCCTGAATACCTAGAAAGACTGCAGATGATTGAAGAGCATGGAAGAGATAAGTTTCCGGACTTACGAGTGGAAGAAAGACTTCTATTCAAGAAGACACACTTCGATAGAGAGGAATTTGAATGGAAACTGTCGGTTCCGGAAGCATTGACGACAACTCCAATCCAGCAAGCCCACGGCAGCGACATGGCAATGCATGGGGGTATGGAAAAGACCTTAGCGAGACTTCAGCGTATGTATTACTGGCCCAAAATGGTAATTCAAGTCCGAGAATTTGTATCAGCATGCGAAAACTGCAAGGAGAACAAGCACATAACGCAGATAAAGCGACCAGTGATGGGGTATGAGGTACGGAAAGATCGACCCATTCAAAAGCTGTACCTGGATTTCCTAGGAAAGTATCCGCGGTCTCACCGAGGGAACACGATGTTATTTATCGCGTTGGATCACTTAACCAAGTTTGTGTGGCTAAAAGCGAATCCGAAGGCCACATCGACAGCTGTAGTCCGATTCCTGCAAGAAGGAATATTCACCCAATTCGGAGTTCCGGAAACAATCCACACGGACAACGGAAGGCAGTTTATCTCCAAAGAATTCGAGAATATGCTACAAGAATATGGGATTACACACATGAAGACAGGGAGATACATAATCCAATGCTTCGGAGAGAGTAAATCAATCCGTGCTAGCAGCCATTCGAGTGAACATCCAGGACGACCACACGCGATGGGATGAATACTTAGCGGACATACAAGCGTCGCTGAGGTCATCCATCTATAGCAGCACCGGAACTTCGCCGTACTTTGCCATGTTCCAACAGCACATGTTTACGAATGGGAAAGATTACTCGCTGGCTCGCAAGTTGAATGCCCTTAATGATACTGAGATAGCCCAGTTGCTCAGATCGGAGAGACAACAACTATACAGAGCGAAAATAAAAGAAAGGATACATCAGGCCTACGAGAAAGCATCAAAGCATTACAACTTAAAGGCCCGAGAGATTCGATACTACCGGGACAAGAAATCTACAAGAGAAACTTTGTCCTAAGTGACTTCAGCAAGAATTGGAACTCCAAGTTTTGCAGAAAGTACACTAAATGTCGAGTCACAAAAGCGTTGGGAAACTCTTTGTACGCTTTGGAAAACTTGCGCGGCAATCCTTTGGGTGTTTTCCATGAAGAGGATCTGAAACAATAGTGCCCGGCTAGCAAACCACACTCACCAATTTAACAAAGCTGTTTACATTAAGACAGATAACGATAGGCTTGTGCCTATCGTGTGTCGATACACGACTATCGACGACTCGTGAGTTCAGGGAGTCGTGAAGCTGAGTCAAATCATGGAACTGGTTCCTTAAACCGGATAACTCCCAAATGAACCAAAATTTAAATCCGAAAAATTTGAGTGGTTTTTGGCGAAGGGAGCTTGGAAAAGTGAAATAAGCAAGGGTAAGTAAAGGGCGAAAATAAGTGGTCGCAGACGGTTCGGTTGGCAAGAAAAATAATATTAAAAAAAGTCAAGTTCCAACCCATTAAGTGATAAAAAAAAGAGTACTTGTTGATGTGAGTGGAGTTAAAATTGAAATATTTATAGAATATTCCGTGAGGGACAAGCAAGGATCAGAAAGATAGATTGATATAAGGAGAGACGAAGACCAGTCACCAGGAGGAGATAAAAATTTCAACAAGAAAATTGGCCACTCAATCCCGGGTTATTCGCCCTTTAAAATTATATTTGCCACAGAGAATTTAAAAAGTTGTTCCCAAAAACTGCGAGCGGCAAAGAAAACCAGCAAGCCGAAAATAAAAAAAACGACACTGATGATATGTTTGATTATGTAACCCGCCCAAACAAATTTATCCCACTTATATCTATTCAAATTATTTATTTATTTGACTTATTTATTTACACAAACCAGAAACTATTGTACTATTTTATATTGTTATAGCTTTATTTATTTATATATATGTGTATGTGTATATGTGTATATAGACTTATAAAATTCTAGAATTTAAGAGAAATTTTTGAATTATAATGCGAAAACGAAATGAATTCGTGTGAATAGAAATTCTTGTTGGGGGGTGAGATGATGTAGGCGAGGTAGCACGACCCACGAGGCAGAATTGGGAGATGTGTCCAAAAGAACGTTGAGGGATGCACTCATGGTTGGAAGGGACTCCAAGAGCTGTGTGGTCCAGTCCAGATGTTCAAAGAAAGTCCGTCGTGAAGATTGCCGTTGTCCGAGTTTGAATTTCCGCTTTTTATTGTTTTTTTTGTTGTGTCTGCAGCGTAGACATTTTTTTGGTTGTTCCCCTCCCTGGGACGTTCGATGACTAGCCGGCATCTACACTGCGCAAAACGCAGGATACGACAAATCTACAAGAGTTTATTAATGGTGTCTTTATGTATTGGCCTATTTTGGCTCAAACATTTGTAAGACTTATCAAAGGTGTCCTTTAATTCTCGTATATAGAGAGTTAATTGCTCCCATTCCATACTAAAATTTTATTAATTTTTTTAAAATTAATTGTGCATAATTTTTACCACATTTATGAGTCCTAATACTGGATGTATGTCTTTTTCCGAGAATACTTTACAGTTTCTTACGGTAGTCAGTACTATTGCTTTTGCCTTCAGTTGCAATGAATAAGCGGGGAAAAATTTAGGTTGTACCTATATATGTACTTCTGTTCAAAATCTGTAATTAATAAAGGCTCTGCTCTGTTTCTAACTATGGCTTATACTTTATTCTCAAAATTTGGTTCATTGTCAATAGTAATTCTAACGCAGTCCTGTGTGTTAATTTTTAGTTTATAATATTTTTTTTTTTTTTTTCAAAAGGGACATTTTCTTAGACAACATTTAATTCTCTCTTTTTAATATGTCATTGTGTACATATACATTCTTTGTATTTTATTATACCCGTTACTCGTAGAGTAAAAGGGTATACTAGATTCGTCGGAAAGTATGTAACAGGCAGAAGGAAGCGTTTCCGACCCCATAAAGTATATTTATTCTGGATCAGGATCACTAGCCGAGTCGATCTAGCCATGTCCGTCTGTCCGTCTGTCTGTCCGTCCGTCCTTCCGGATGAACACTGAGATCTCGGAAACTATAAGAGCTAGGCTATTGGGACTCGCATCTTACGCAGCGCAAGTTGGTTTCAGCAGCTTGCCACGCCCACTCTAACGCCCACATACGTTCCAAAACTGTGGCTTCTACAGTTTTGATGCTAGAATATAAAATTTAACTGAAATTTATTGTTCTTATCAATATTTATCGATTTACCCAAAACAAAAATTGCCACGCCCACTTTAACGCCCACAAGGTTCAACAATTCCTTAATATTCTTGGACTTGATGCACTATGGTCAGTACAATCAAACAGCTTGCTTGGGGAAAGTTGCCTTGAAACAGTGGAAAGGTTAGGACTGAGATTAGAGAGGTCACAATCGATAATGAAATCAGCATTAGGTACGCAGCATGGAGTAGTGGGGAAGATTCAACACAGCATCTCGTACAATGGGTTAAAAAAACGATTGCCGATACTCCTTTGTCCTTCCTTAAAGCAAAAATTATACCTTTGTATAGATTTCTGGAGGAAATTCGAATTGGCACCAGAGGTAGTGGGTGTAGAATCCGTACACCAGGTGGAATCCGAATTTATGGCCAAAGAGAACAGATAGAGGCACATATTTGATCCCCTTAACAGGCTGAGCAGCTGGAAGAAGCAAAAGGAGGTTTTCTGACATACGAAAGTCAAGGATTAGGACTTACCAAGGTGGAAGAACACTCGATCCAGTTAGTTGAAGGAGCCGTACCCGTGAAGGAGAAATTTTTTCCAGTTTCTCCGGCGAAACAACAACTGCTGTTCGCAAAAATCGATGAAATGCTTCGGTTAGGAGTCATCGAGATAAGTGAAAGTCCCTGGAACAACCGAACGACGCTGGCGCAGAAACCTGGAAAGAATAGGCTGAGCTTAGACGCAAGAAAACTGAACACACTTACAGTGAATGATGCTTACCCATTACAAAGCATTGAGTCGATTTTAAGCCGGGTAGATGACACGATTTTCATCAGCAGTATCGATTTAAAACATGCGTTCTGGCAAGTGGAACTCGATGAAAATTGTCGTCCCTTGACCGCTTTCACAATACCTAGAAGGCCACTTTATCAGTTTCGACGGATGCCATTCGGCTTGGGTAATTCGGCTCAAAGGTTGTGTAGGGTAATGGATAAGGTAATCCCACAGCGTCTTCGAAGCCGCGTCTTTGTTTACTTGGATGACTTGCTGATGAAATCCAAGACTTTCGAAGAACACTGCATGTTGCTGAAAGAAGTAGCAGAGTGTTTAAATAAAGCAAATTTGACGATCGGCCTACACAAGTCAAAATTTTGTTTTAAATACTTGCGGTATTTGGGATTTATCATCGGTGATGGGGCCTTGCGGACAGATCCGAAGAAAGTTGAGGCGATTATGAAGATAGAAGTGCCTAAAAATACGCGACAACTACGCAGCTTCTTAGGAACCGCAAGATGGTACCTCAGGTTAATCCAAAATTTCTCCGGTGTAAGTGCGCCGCTCACAAACTGCCTTAAAAATAAAGGGAAATTTACGTGGACGGAGGAAGCAACTGCGGCATTTGAAACACTGAAGAAAGGACTTACCTGCGGGCCGGTATTAGCTCATCCAGATTTCGGGAAACTTTTGGATACAGTGTGACGCCAGCCATGTTGGAATTGGGGGCAGTGTTATACCAGCAAGACGTAGAAGGATCGGACCGGCCAATAGCATTCTTTTCGGCGAAGCTGAGAGGAGCACAACTCAATTACAGCATAACGGAAAAAGAGTGCCTCGCAGCTAAAAAAGCCGTGGAAAGATTCCGTCTCTTCGATTTTGAGACAACGGAGTTTGAGAGTCCTGAATACCTAGAAAGACTGCAGATGATTGAAGAGCATGGAAGAGATAAGTTTCCGGACTTACGAGTGGAAGAAAGACTTCTATTCAAGAAGACACACTTCGATAGAGAGGAATTTGAATGGAAACTGTCGGTTCCGGAAGCATTGACGACAACTCCAATCCAGCAAGCCCACGGCAGCGACATGGCAATGCATGGGGGTATGGAAAAGACCTTAGCGAGACTTCAGCGTATGTATTACTGGCCCAAAATGGTAATTCAAGTCCGAGAATTTGTATCAGCATGCGAAAACTGCAAGGAGAACAAGCACATAACGCAGATAAAGCGACCAATGATGGGGTATGAGGTACGGAAAGATCGACCCATTCAAAAGGTGTACCTGGATTTCCTAGGAAAGTATCCGCGGTCACACCGAGGGAACACGATGTTATTTATCGCGTTGGATCACTTAACCAAGTTTGTGTGGCTAAAAGCGAATCCGAAGGCCACATCGACAGCTGTAGTCCGATTCCTGCAAGAAGGAATATTCACCCAATTCGGAGTTCCGGAAACAATCCACACGGACAACGGAAGGCAGTTTATCTCCAAAGAATTCGAGAATATGCTACAAAAATATGGGATTACACACATGAAGACAGGGAGATACATAATCCAATGCTTCGGAGAGAGTAAATCAATCCGTGCTAGCAGCCATTCGAGTGAACATCCAGGACGACCACACGCGATGGGATGAATACTTAGCGGACATACAAGCGTCGCTGAGGTCATCCATCTATAGCAGCACCGGAACTTCGCCGTACTTTGCCATGTTCCAACAGCACATGTTTACGAATGGGAAAGATTACTCGCTGGCTCGCAAGTTGAATGCCCTTAATGATACTGAGATAGCCCAGTTGCTCAGATCGGAGAGACAACAACTATACAGAGCGAAAATAAAAGAAAGGATACATCAGGCCTACGAGAAAGCATCAAAGCATTACAACTTAAAGGCCCGAGAGATTCGATACTACCGGGACAAGAAATCTACAAGAGAAACTTTGTCCTAAGTGACTTCAGCAAGAATTGGAACTCCAAGTTTTGCAGAAAGTACACTAAATGTCGAGTCACAAAAGCGTTGGGAAACTCTTTGTACGCTTTGGAAAACTTGCGCGGCAATCCTTTGGGTGTTTTCCATGAAGAGGATCTGAAACAATAGTGCCCGGCTAGCAAACCACACTCACCAATTTAACAAAGCTGTTTACATTAAGACAGATAACGATAGGCTTGTGCCTATCGTGTGTCGATACACGACTATCGACGACTCGTGAGTTCAGGGAGTCGTGAAGCTGAGTCAAATCATGGAACTGGTTCCTTAAACCGGATAACTCCCAAATGAACCAAAATTTAAATCCGAAAAATTTGAGTGGTTTTTGGCGAAGGGAGCTTGGAAAAGTGAAATAAGCAAGGGTAAGTAAAGGGCGAAAATAAGTGGTCGCAGACGGTTCGGTTGGCAAGAAAAATAATATTAAAAAAAGTCAAGTTCCAACCCATTAAGTGATAAAAAAAAGAGTACTTGTTGATGTGAGTGGAGTTAAAATTGAAATATTTATAGAATATTCCGTGAGGGACAAGCAAGGATCAGAAAGATAGATTGATATAAGGAGAGACGAAGACCAGTCACCAGGAGGAGATAAAAATTTCAACAAGAAAATTGGCCACTCAATCCCGGGTTATTCGCCCTTTAAAATTATATTTGCCACAGAGAATTTAAAAAGTTGTTCCCAAAAACTGCGAGCGGCAAAGAAAACCAGCAAGCCGAAAATAAAAAAAACGACACTGATGATATGTTTGATTATGTAACCCGCCCAAACAAATTTATCCCACTTATATCTATTCAAATTATTTATTTATTTGACTTATTTATTTACACAAACCAGAAACTATTGTACTATTTTATATTGTTATAGCTTTATTTATTTATATATATGTGTATGTGTATATGTGTATGTAGACTTATAAAATGTTAGAATTTAAGAGAAATTTTTGAATTATAATGCGAAAACGAAATGAATTCGTGTGAATAGAAATTCTTGTTGGGGAGTGAGATGATGTAGGCGAGGTAGCACGACCCACGAGGCAGAATTGGGAGATGTGTCCAAAAGAACGTTGAGGGATGCACTCATGGTTGGAAGGGACTCCAAGAGCTGTGTGGTCCAGTCCAGATGTTCAAAGAAAATCCGTCGTGAAGATTGCCGTTGTCCGAGTTTGAATTTCCGCTTTTTATTGTTTTTTTTGTTGTGTCTGCAGCGTAGACATTTTTTTGGTTGTTCCCCTCCCTGGGACGTTCGATGACTAGCCGGCATCTACACTGCGCAAAACGCAGGATACGACAAATCTACAAGAGTTTATTAATGGCGTCTTTATGTATTGGCCTATTTTGGCTCAAACATTTGTAAGACTTATCAAAGGTGTCCTTTAATTCTCGTATATAGAGAGTTAATTGCTCCCATTCCATACTAAAATTTTATTAATTTTTTTAAAATTAATTGTGCATAATTTTTACCACATTTATGAGTCCTAATACTGGATGTATGTCTTTTTCCGAGAATACTTTACAGTTTCTTACGGTAGTCAGTACTATTGCTTTTGCCTTCAGTTGCAATGAATAAGCGGGGAAAAATTTAGGTTGTACCTATTTATGTACTTCTGTTCAAAATCTGTAATTAATAAAGGCTCTGCTCTGTTTCTAACTATGGCTTATACTCTATTTTCAAAATTTGGTTCATTGTCAATAGTAATTCTAACGCAGTCCTGTGTGTTAATTTTTAGTTTATAATATATTTTTTTTTTTTTTCAAAAGGGACATTTTCTTAGACAACATTTAATTCTCTCTTTTAAATATGTCATTGTGTACATATACATTCTTTGTATTTTATTATACCCGTTACTCGTAGAGTAAAAGGGTATACTAGATTCGTCGGAAAGTATGTAACAGGCAGAAGGAAGCGTTTCCGACCCCATAAAGTATATTTATTCTGGATCAGGATCACTAGCCGAGTCGATCTAGCCATGTCCGTCTGTCCGTCTGTCTGTCCGTCCGTCCTTTCGGATGAACGCTGAGATCTCGGAAACTATAAGAGCTAGGCTATTGGGACTCGCATCTTACGCAGCGCAAGTTGGTTTCAGCAGCTTGCCACGCCCACTCTAACGCCCACATACGTTCCAAAACTGTGGCTCCTACAGTTTTGATGCTAGAATATAAAATTTAACTGAAATTTATTGTTCTTATCAATATTTATCGATTTACCCAAAACAAAAATTGCCACGCCCACTTTAACGCCCACAAGCTTCAACAATTCCTTAATATTCTTGGACGTTGATGCACTATGGTCAGTACAAACAAGTGGCCCTTACGACACCAAGCAATGCTTGTTACGCGCGGAGCCCTAAACCGATTTGGGCAAGTAAACGAAATCGCGGACATGGAAAAAGACGACATAACAATAGACAGTTTAAAATACATGCTCACATAGAATGGCTAGTAACATAGAAATTTACAAATTATTGGAAGATAGAAAATACATAAGTTTATCATAATTAGTTGCATTAGGGCTATCAAACAGTAAGACGTGACACAGTGCATTATAGTCGTCACAAAGAACCGGAAAAGGATCATGAAGGGCATAAATGGATCTACAAGTTGGCAGGGACAACGGACGAAAACGACGAACTGTTCTACAGGGTACATTCCAGTTGAGGGAACTAAGAAGGAAGGGAGAGTCAACATCACCATTAATTAATTTATGCAAAAACATAACTCCATGAGACTTTCAACGATGGTTCAGGGTTGGTAAGTCCAGCAGGCGCAACCTCGCATGATAAGAGGGAAATGTCCCAGCTTAAACCTCTCAAAGCAAATAAAAGGAATTGCTTTTGAACGGACTCTAACATATTTTGGTAACAGCTAATTTGAGGTGACCATATACACGAGCAATATTCCATTGAGGGACGAACAAGAGAAACATACAAAAGCTTTGTTGTGTATGGATCATCAAACTCCCTTGACCAGCGCTTCATAAACGCCAGGAGACTTCTGGCTTTGTTAGTTATAGTAGATATATGGTCTTTAAAACTAAGTTTATGATCAAATAGAACGCCAAGATCCTGAACAGAAAAAATACGTTCAAGGGCGTTATTACCGATAGAATAAGAATACAGAGATGGATTACAACGATAAAAGGTCATAAAGTTACATTTAGAATAATTCAAATTCAACATATTAATCATGCACCACGTATACAACCAATCAAGATCTAATTGAAGGTCATTATATGAATTAGGTAAACACATGGACAAACATAGCTTGACATCATCTGCATACATTAAAACTGTTGACGATTTTATGACATAAGGTAGATCATTAATCATTAAGCCAAAAAGTAAAGGTCCCAGGAGGCTACCCTGTGGCACTCCAGAAGTAACATTAATTATTTTGGAAATTTTATTATTAAAACAGACCATTTGAGTTCTATTAGAAAGGTAGGAAAGTATCCACTCTAGTAGGTTGGGTGGAAAACCTAAAAGGGACAATTTATAAATAAGAATCCTATGGTTCACTGAATCAAAAGCTTTAGAGAAATCGGTATAAATCACATCAGTTTGATGATGTGTCAGAAAACCTCTAGTGATTAAAGACGTAAATTCAAGTAGGTTTGTAGAAGTAGAGCGACATCTAGTGAAGCCATGCTGACAAGGTGAAATAATAGACCTGCAATGATGCTGCAACTGACAGGTAATAATTTTTTCAAAAAGTTTAGGAATAGAACTGAGTTTAGCAATACCGTCATAGTTTGAGATATCGGACTTATTCCCTTTTTTAAACAATGGGATAATAAAGGATTCCTTCCATATGGATGGAAATCTACATTGACTTAGGGACAGATTAAATATCAATGTTAAGGGAAGAGCAAGATAAGATGAACAATTCCTAAGTATACAACTTGGTATTCTATCAGGACCCGGTGAAAATGAGAGCTTGAGAGTATTAAGACTCTGAAGAACATCAGATACATCAATCACTGGTTTGAAGATAGAGTTCAAATGAGGTAGCGGGTATAGATAATCTTTGATAATGACATTATTGCATTTCGTATCAGTGGATTGAAAAAAGTCTGCGAATAAGTTGCAAATATCATTAAGAGAGAGGGAGGAAAGCAGCTAGATTTTCGTTTAGAATTGACGAAAAAAAATAAAAGCTTAGGATTACTTTTGAAATCCCGCTTACAACGAGACAGGTAATTTTTGTAGCAATCAGTATTGTACTGGACAAATTCCACCTTAGCTGCGCTATATTTGGTGAAGTCTGTCTGTAAGCCGGATATTTTGAACCGTTTAAATAGTCTTGTTTTTTTATTCTGCAAATAAGACAGTTGACGGGTAAACCATGGAGAGCTGTAAGAATTCTTCATGGAGGAAAGAGGGACATGTTCTTCAAATAGACGGTAAAGGATCTCATAAAAGTACCTAACTGCATCATCAACAGGAAGGTCAACTAGAAAGGACCAGCTTACTGTCGATAAAGATTCCACTAGTCTGCCATAATCAGTCCTCTTAAAACACAAACTAGGCTGTACATTTATTGCAGTCCTAGGATTATTAAAAAATCCATTAATACAGAGCTGAAGGGTAGGATGATAACAATCTTCAGGTAAAGATAGTGGCGAAATACGACTGACTTCAGCATCGCTACTATCAAAAACAAAGATTAAGTCAAGAAGACGACCAATATTATTGGGAATCCTGTTAACTTGCTGCAAAGATAGTTCAACCAGACCATCAATAAAATCATTTTGCATCCTAGGAATCATTGCCAATGAGTCCTTACTCTCCAACCAAGAGATATTGGAAAGATAAAAGTCACCAAGCACAATAAGTTGGGCAGTTTCAGTAAGCAACAAGGAGATAGAATGTATGGCGGACAGGTGCAATAGATACACGTTAAATTCTGAGCCAGGAGATATATACGAGCAGGTTAAAAAAATGTTTCTTTTTGGGAAAGATAATTTTACGGAAATAAATTCAATACCTGATGATTCAGAAATATCAACAAACTCAGAAGTTAAATTGGATTTGACTCCAATAAGAACGCCTCCTCCTCGACGGGTCTGACGATCCTTCCGATAAACAAAAAAGTTATTAGACAAAATCTCACTATCGTGTACGGATGGGTTAAGCCAGGTCTCAGTGAGTACAATAACATTGGCC